CAAAATACACACGTTAGTAACTTCAAGGAAAATAATAATCAAACAATTAAATTAAATAATTGAAAGAGAAATTTAGGACCAAACCCTCAGAAATTAAACCTTTCACGTCTAGGGCGAAGGCAACTTCGAACTTGGCTAGGTGTGTCTAGATCTTGTGAATGCGGAATTTTGTAGAGAAAGCTAGAGAGAGAAGAATTCTTAAAAACTAGAGAGAGAATAAGAGAGTTGATGATATTTGATGAGAATTATATTGATGATTGAAAAAGAAGGTTTTAAGAGGCTATTTATAGAGAAAATCAGTCGGATGAATAAAAAAACGAATCAGAGTTTCAACGAGAATAAAACGATTAGCGTTAGACGCTGGTCATTAGCGCCAAACGCTGAAGATTAGCGCCAGGCGCTAATAATCAGTTTCACGTGTATTTGTTTTTATAATATCTTTTTATCCGGAAGTCCAAATAAGGCATATAATATGTCGTTGGAAAGCTATTGAAGTCTAATTTCCAACCCAATTAGAATCAGATTAAAATATTTTATAGATAAAAATATATAGCCGAAATAGTGGAAGGGTGTCAGTGTTGGATAGAGTTTCAAATCTCATTCATATCTTTTTCATTATAGCTTGGTTTTAATATTATAATATATCATTAGAAAGATAATTTCAAGATCTATCCAACCATATAAAATTTGGATAAAGATTATGAGGCACAAAAAATTAAATCTGAATATATTCCACTTCGTACAAAACAAGGATTCTAAAAAGGAGTAGTTTTATTCAATTTCAAACTCTTTGAAACATAATTATCAATCCTAACTCCATTAATCAGGATTTAAAAGAACCTTCTAGAGTATTATAGAATACTATAATCAATCCTAATAGCTTTAGAAATGATAATTAATAATAGGCTCTCCTCTAGATCATTGGGCCGCATATAAAAACCAAACCGGGTCGAGTTTAGTATTTTGGCCATAACTTCCTCATTATTCATCGGAATTGGGCTTATAATATATCGTTGGAAAGATCTTTTCAACCCCCATCCAAATACACTATTATTGGACCCTTATCATGGACCAAACTAAACCGGAATGCATGTTTTTCAAAATAAGGTAAGAAAAGAAATATTTTCAAAAATAGAAAGAAGAGATATTTTAATAAAAACATCCTCATCACTAGACTTTTCACACTTTTGCTTTGTTCGATAATCAAATGACATGAAAGGTATTCATCACTGGGTTTGGTTTTGGGGAGACACATTTGGGTTTCTACACTACTCGATTCTTATTATGAAAAGTATTCCTGCGATCTCAAAGGCATGCAAACAAAGATTCAATTTGTTCCAAACTAACATTAGGCTAAATTAGTTGAATATTAATACCTCATACTTTCTCCGTTAAGATTAGTGCATAATTAAATTAATTGTTGTTATCTTTATGGGCACATTTGAAATAAATGTTGTCTTATGTTTAAAAACAGGGCAACATTTTATATACTGTTGTCTTACATATTCTAGAGCAACACTTTTAAACGCTGCATTGTAAAGTAGTATAGATTGTTTAAGATCAAGATATCAAACAAGTATTGTCGTCTTTTATTACTAAACGCAACTTTTGACATATTGTTGCAATTTTGTGCTTTGCCTATATTCTTTTTTTTTTTTGGTAGTGACAATGTTTTGTACTCCATATTTTGTTATTTTTTTTTACGGGTTGTTACTTGATTTTAAGTGTATAGTTTCATTGTAATTTGGTATTTTATACTTTGATCATTTCAAAGAATAGTAAAAAAAAAAATCAAATTTTATTTTACATACTCGATAATCAGGGCCCCAATTTGTCATTCCTCTCATAGGCCACCAAAAAGCTAAGAACGGGCCTGAGCTGCTCAGCTGACAGAGAAAGGGCGAACAACCCTTTTGCCTTATTCTCAAAGGGTGGTGTAGGTGGTCCTCCCACCTACCCACTCTTGTAAGACGACAATTGGCGCTTGACTATTTGTTTGTGCTATTTAATCACTACGTGAAAAAACGTAATTGGCACCGATTCAAAACCCCTCAATGCCACCGGTTTTGAACCGGTGCCAATGTGGGGGGTGCCAATTATGAGCATGAAAATCCACCGGTTCAAACCGGTGGCAAAAATGGTTTTTGGCACCGGTTAACCGGTGCCAAAAATGGCCCAAAATTTTTTTCCATTGTTTTTGGCACCGGTTAACCAGTGTCAAAAATGCCCATTATATATATAATTTTTTTTTTTGTAATTTTTCACTTAACAATTAAATCAAAAAATTAAAAAAATTTAAGAACATCACAATTAAATATGACGAATTTCAATCAATATAATCCAAATTTTACAATATATAATAAAAAAATTACAATCAATTACAACATATAAATAAATAAAAAAAATTACAATATACTCGTAAATAAAAAAAATTACAATATAAATAAAAAAAAAAACCTACACATCTAAATCAATATTCTTGAATCTTGATTCTTCAATTTAAGATCTAAATTGATGTACCTGCACCAATTAAAACAAAAAAAAAAGATTAATATAAATAAGCTTCGCAAAAAAAATAAAAAAACCAGAAATTCAATCCAAAAAATTCAAACCCAGAAAAAAAAAACACAAAAAAAACCAGAAATTCAAATGTATGACAATTGAATTGAAACCCAGGAAAAAAATAATAAACTAGAAATCGGAAAAAAAAAAAAATCAAAATGAAATCCACAAAAAAAAATCAAAATGAAACTCAGAAAAAAAAAAATCAACCCAGAAAAAAATTCAACCCCGAAATCGAAATTGAAAAAAAAAAATTAGCCCAGAAAAAATATAACCCCAGACATCGAAAAAAAATGAAAATCGAAAAAAAAAAATAAACCCAGAAAAATCGAAAAATTAAACCGAATTAAAATCCAAAATCAAACACATGCAAGAACCCATAAAATCTATTTAATTCCAGAAAATCGAAAAAAAAAAACATGCAATAAACCCAGAAAATCGAAATCAGAAATCGAAATCTAGAAATCGAAATCGAAAAAAAAAACACATGCATTAAACCCAGAAAATCGAAATTCGAAAATTGATTCAAATCAATTAATGAAACCCAGAGAAAATTCGAATTAAAATCCAAAATCAAACCCAAAAAAACACCCAATAAACACAAACCCAGAAAAATCGAAAAATTAAACCCAAAAAATCAAACCCATCTTGATTAGATTCGTTGTTGTTCGTGGTCTTGGGTGTTGGACTTGGTGGTGGTGTTGGTGGTCGTCTTCGGTGGTGTTTAGGTGAACAAGGGGGTTTTTTTAGGGAGAGAAGAGAGAGAGGAGAGGAGAGGAGAGAGAAGTGAGGAGAGGAGATCAGGAGAGAGAGAGGAGGAGGGAGGCCGAGTATGAGGTAGGGTAGGGTTTAAGGAAATATAAGGGTTTTTTTTTTTAAAAAAAAAAAGGTTTTTGGCACCGGTTCGGTTCAAACCGGTGGAAAAAACCATTTTTCCCACCGGTTTGAACCAAACCAGTGCCAAAAACCTCTTCTAAAAAACCCGCCTACTTTAACCCATGTTTTTGCCACCGGTTTTGAAGAACCGGTGCCATTCTACTTTTTTCACCTAGTGAATTTATTTTAGAATTAAATTAAATGCCTTGGGTTTAGATGGTGATCCTCCTCATGGCATTTGGGGATTTCCCTACCTTATAAAAAGTGGTAGAATACTCTTATGAATAGGGCATGGACATTTATATCCTTAAAAATGTTATTTTACATTGAATTCAAAAACCTTAAAATTGTCTCTTGAATCACCAAAATTGATTAATTGATTGTGTTTATTTCAATGTTTAAAGCATTTTTTAGACTCTCCATTTTTTTACATTCTCCATATTTTACAAAGTATATAATTATTACTATGCAAATAATAGATATAATAAAATATCATGCAAATATGCATAAGTTATGCTAATTATATCCTTCAAAATGTGCATTTACATGTTTACCCTTATTAATATGTACAAGTTTTTATTTTGCCTCCATTAATGTTAATTTTTTTTTAATTTGGCTTTTATTAATGTTAATTGTTTCTATAAAAAAAAATATTTAGAAAAATATGCGAATAGTTTTGCTTCTATTGCAGACATTTTTGCCTCTAAAAAAATTTTGTTAACATATATTATGTTATTTATGTAACCAAAAACAAAAAAAAATTCCGAACAAGACTAGGTATGGCGCGCATCACGCGCGTTAGCCACCCTAGTTTCAAGAAATTTGGATTATAGGGATCTCCGTCTATTCGTGAGGAAACCGAGAGGCTAAATCTCAAATCATATCGTAACGCGCTCTACGCTAGCTTGTAACGACCAAGGTTGGCCGTGCGAGTAGACTTCGTTAGAGGGGCCACATTTGGGATTCTTGGCTAGGGTTCGAGGTCAAGCTCAAAGGTATACGTGTAACCTTATACGTGTTTCATGTGTTAATCGTATGAATTATTACATGGGTCCAAGGCGGGTTTTGGTTTCCGCATGATGATTAGATCATCGTAAAACCTTACAGTTTGTAATTTTTTGGACAGATTAAGGGTAAATCTGTACTTCATGGTGATTAAGAGTGATGAGTTAGATTATGAAGGAGTAATTGTGCCATTTGAGCTTGTATTGGGATTCTAACATAATGTAGGCCCAAATAGTTGGGATTATTAAAATTAATTTTTCCATAAAATATAAGGAGTAAATAAAAATAAAACAAATGAAGCAGCCAATACTTTCTGCAAGGGAAAAAAAAAACAATAAAGAAAACTGAGTTTTGAATGAGGTATGCCTTTAGCCCTTTTCCATGCCATATCTTCTATTCAGGGGTGTCGACTTATTTATATTCTCCAGTTTCAAACTCATAAAGTAGATTATTTTGACTAAATTACAGCTCACTAATCCAAAGTCAATTATTCCAACATCTGATCAAACTTACAAAAGTACAAAACCAATAATGCTTCTAGTAATACCGACCTAAATAATATCAAAATGCACCAAGTCCCCACTATTTCTTATTTATTTTAGACTTCAACTTTGGTATGCCTTATCAGACAGCTTTAGCCACCTAATATCATTCACTCATATCTTTTTTTCTCCCTCCCTCAAATTGAAAAACTTTCTATCCTTTATTTTCAATCACATTTACTTGTATTTGCAATATTAACACTTCAATTAACCAATATTATTATTAGACAACAATGTCCTCCTAATCCATTCTATCCCCACTAAAACCTTAATTACCTGAAATATCATTTGAAAATATGTTCAAAAATTTCAATCTTTTGGGTATTTTTTCCCTGTTATTGATCATCTCAACTGCATTCGCGCAACAAACAGAATTCTTATATGAAGATTTCAGCAAAGCAGGCAGCACCATAATCTTAAAAGATGCAGCTAAACTAGTCAAACATGACAGTATCATACAGCTAACCAACACAACAAGCCGTATGATCGGGCACGCCTTCTACTCTACTCCAATTAAGTTCAAAAATACTCAAAACGACTCCGTTTTATCATTTTCATCTGTCTTTACAATAGGAACTGTACCCGAATTCAAGACCCTTGGAGGTCATGGCATGGCCTTCATTGTTTCCCCTTCAAACAACCTCCCTAAGGCCCTCCCTAGTCAATACCTCGGCCTTTTCAATGCAGCCGATATTGGAAACATCACCAACCATATCTTTGCGGTCGAATTCGACACGGTACAAGATTTCGAGTTTGGTGATATTAATGACAATCATGTTGGTATTGATCTTAACGGCTTGGTGTCCAACTTCTCTGTTCCAGCTACATATATTATGGAAAATTCTACCAAACAAAATGTGTCCATGAAAAATGGACATACCATTCAAGCTTGGATTGATTATGATGCTACAAATCATCTTATTAATGTGACCATTTCACCTTTTTCTACAAAACCAAGTTTCCCTTTAATTTCATACAAATATGATCTTACTCAGATTTTAGAAGAAGAAATGTATGTTGGATTTGCTGCTGCAACTGGTTTACTAGCAAGCTCACATTACGTTCTTGGTTGGAGTTTTAATATGAGTGGTCCTGCCAAATCTCTTCCAATGCCTCCCCTCCCACACCCTTCTAGTACCTCTAATAGTAAACACAAGGAAACTATGGCCATTTCTTTGTCGATTTCGGTATCGATTTTTATCTTTCTCTTTATTATATGTGTCATCTATGTGATTATCAGAATTAGAGACCGCGAAATAATAGAAGAATGGGAGCTAACAGTCGGGCCTCATCGGTTTCGATACCACGAGTTGAAGGAAGCAACAAGAGGGTTTAAAGAGAAGGAGCTACTTGGGAGAGGTGGATTTGGAAGGGTGTATAAGGGGAGTCTTAAAAAATGCAATACCCAGATTGCAGTAAAGCGAATAAACCACGAATCGAAACAGGGGTTACCTGAATTTGTTGCTGAAATTGCAAGCATTGGTCGCCTATGCCACCGGAATTTAGTCCAGCTTTTAGGTTGGGGTCGACGTAGAGGCGACCTTTTGCTTGTGTATGATTATATGCCTAATGGAAGCTTGGATAAGTACTTATTTGATCAAGGACAACAAGGTTTTTTACTTAGTTGGGAACAGAGGTTTAGAATAATTAAAGGTGTTGCTTCAGGGCTATTGTATTTACATGAAGGGTGGGAAAAAGTGGTTATTCATAGGGATATCAAGGCGAGTAATGTATTACTTGATGGTGACTTTAATGGTCGACTTGGTGATTTTGGGCTAGCACGATTGCACGACCATGGGGCGGACCTAGGCACGACTAGGGTCGTAGGCACATTGGGCTACCTAGCACCGGAATTGTCACGAACGGGTCATGTAACAACTTGCTCTGATGTGTTCGCGTTTGGGGCACTTTTACTTGAAGTAGTATGCGGGAGAAGGCCTATAGAACCAAGGTTTAAAACTGAGGAGCTAGTACTAGTTGATTGGGTCTGGTCAAAGTGGAATGAAGGGAAAATAATGGAAGTAATTGATGCTAAATTGAGCAGAACATTTAACCGTGAAGAAGCTTTAATGGTATTAAAGCTAGGATTGATGTGTTCCTGTGATGATCCTCGATTTCGACCGAGTATGAGGGTCGTAGTGAGGTACTTGGATGGAGAGATGGCATTGCCAGAGGTTTTGAGAGCACCTAATTCAGATGATGAGTTGAGGGTTTCAAGTAGAGAACCTAGACATGAAGATTTTGTTTACTCATTTGCAACGTCTTCTTCTGAGGTGAGTGTGCAATCACATAGTACTGGAGATAGAACTAGGGTGCTAATATAGAACTAGGGGTACTATGCTAGTGTTAGTCCAAACACTGTGTGATAACTGATAAGTACATCAATGTGATATATACTTTATTGGGAAAAACTAAGTCCCCCAATTTTGCGAAATTAAACTCGAGGTATTAAATTTGTAATTGTTGATTGTTAGAGCGATAGTTCATATAAAAGTATTACGAATGGGGCTAAAAGAAAGAACAATATAGATAATAAAATGGCTAAAAGAAAAGTAGATGAATAATATAAAAGTATCTCGAATATACACAAAAAATAGGGAACAGTCTATATTAATACTGCTTATATAATGACACTTAGATTGTACAAGCTATGATCTGATTGACTGAGGCAATTAGACCGTCTTGCTCCACTGATGCTGCACAATATAAACAAACATTCGGAAAAGGTTATGAATTACAAATAGAGCTGTCAGTTTCTGACCTGAACCGTTAAACCCGACTGTTTCGAACCGATCCGAAAAGGAACTGAACTGTTTAAAACCCGTTTTTTGGAAATCGAAAAATGACCCGACCCAATTTTTTCCAAACCGAAACTGAACTAAACCGAATTTGTGCAAACCGTTACTAACCCGACCCGTTATCAAGCCAAACCGTTACAACCCGAAACTGAAAGCAACCCAAACCGATTACGTTTAAACCCGATAGTAACCCGACCCGTTTTAAACCGAAAACCGTTAAAACCCGATAAAAATCCGATAAACCTAAATCGTTCCAACCCGTAACCCGTTGTGACCGAACCGGTTATAATCCGTAACCCGTTGTGACCGAACCGTTTACGACCCGTAGCCTGTTATGACCAAACCGTTTAAAACCCGTAACCCGTTATGACTGAGTCATTTACAACCTGTTACCCAATATGTTTATGATCTAATCTGTTTCAACCCACTACTCGATAAACCCAATTTATTTATGACTTAACTTCATTATAACATGACTCGTTCCTACCCATTATCTGACTAATTCGACTCGATAATCATCCGACTCAATTTTAACCCGATATGATTTTGATTAGAAACCCGTTTCAAATTGGGTAAACTCGTTTTCAAACCAACCAAGTTCAATCTAAACCGATTATAACCGAAACAATAATGGTTGGACCCGATTTCACCCGATCTATTTTGAACCGAAACCCATTTTCGAACCGACCCAGTTAAACCCAAACTGATTATGACCCGAACCAATTACGACCCGTCCTGATTAAGACCCGAACTGTTTTTAACCGAAACCCACATTAAATGGGCTAAACCCGTTTTCAAACCGACCCAGTTCAACCCAAATTGATTATGACCCGAACCGACTAGAACCCGACCCGATAAGGACCCGATCCGAATAGAAACTGCAATTAAAAAAACCAAACCGAACTGGCCCGATAATTTTCAAAACCGACCCAAACCGACCCGCTTATTATTTCAATCCGTTATAAACCGACCCGTTATAACCCGAAACTGATAAACCCAACCCAAACCCGAACTGTTTAACCGAATTGACACCCCTAATTACAAACTATAAGCTATTGGAAAATATAATAAGCTTAATAATTTCATGATTATGTTAAACTTTTATGAAGAAAATTTATTGTTATTACACCTTGGGGAGCAAGGAGATTAGCAGCCTCAGAAGATGGCTCATTAAACATATATTCCAGACCACATCCTGTATGAGCAGTCAAGCATAACCCAAGCAATAAACCCATTCCCTTCAACCCAAACATTTTCAGCTGAAGTGGCAAATGCAACAGTTTTACGAGAAACAATTTCTAAGAAGCCAACACAATCAATTGAAACATGTTTCCTTGTACATTAGGTCCAGGGCAACCCTCTTTTCTTTTATACGCTCTATGCACTTATGCCTAGCTTTCAACAAAGCTGATACATTTTAAGCCTATCAGAGGTAAGATCAGCCACATGAACTCTGTTTAGGCGCAACTGTGCTTAGCCAAGCCTACCAGTACATAAGTGGGTCTTGGTAGATAAAGTCAGTCAGTTATCTAATTTAGAAGAGCCTGTAAAGCAATGCAAACTTAGCTCGGTTCTGAAGCCATAACCTGTAACCGGCAAAAAATGCTTTCATAACTAAGCAAAGGAGAGGTAAATCGGTAGGGAAGAAAAGACTTTCTAAAGGAAAATGCAGGAACATTTTCTGCACAGAACACACTAAATACCTAAGCCATGGGTAACAAAAGAAACTAACAATAGAGAAATACCTAAGCGGGTAACAAAAGAAACTAACAATAGAGAAACAAGAATTCAGCGAAGTGCATGCGTTCACCAAAGCACCTTACCCCAAAAAAACTGCTGCATACAAAGGTCAAAAATTACAAGCGCATCCAATTAACGCAACAAATTCATCAAAATGAAACATTGTTAAATCAACACTAAAAAGAACCCAATCCAAACACTTGAAATCTTTCTCGTTAGCTCTAAAAAACACAGAAGAAAAGCGAGCGTACTCCTCAGGCCAGCAAACATACGAAGTTAAAACAATACACCACCAACTCCTATTTTTGCTTTTGGTAGAGAAATAAAATTGTTGCACTGGAAAGGATTCATGGTTAACTTTAAAGTGAAAGACAAACAAGAGGTAGAGGTCGCATTGTGGTAACGATGTATATCTCTGAGCTTGTAAATCTTATAACATTAGAAACACCAGGATACAGTCTATAGATAACATACAAATTCAGAAAAATTAAGGACTGCAAGCAAAATTCCAGTTAATATTACTGTGTCAATCACTTGCATAACATTCTCGGAGTGTCAAGATTTTCCATAAGTGCATTAGGTAGTAACAAAAGATTATGATGTGATAAAATTCTAACAAAAACATCAACTTTTGTCACCACTAAACCTTTTCTAAGCTTCCTAGTTGAACCTGTATATAGGATACATGCATTGTGCTTAAGAAACCATTATATTCAAATATGCATACCCTATTGAATGTAGGTAAAATAGAAATCTCCCTATGAAGGTCAAATTGATAAAGCACAAGTAAAAGTAAAATAAGTAGATTTACGGTCAGCAAAGAATAATTGAGGTATAGTAGAATGAAAAAGATCTCTATAAGACTACAACTCTCTTTATTGATTTAACAGTGTTTCATTTTGAAAAAGATCTCTATAATCCTATGCAAAATAGCCCTTTCATATCTCTTGAGTGAGCATGTATTAAAAGCATTAATTACTAATTACCTTTTGCAAAACGATATCATCCGCAAACAACATGCACCATGGAACCTCATCTTGGGTTGGTTGAGTTACTTCATCTAGAACCGATGTAAAAAGAAAAGGGCTTAATGAGACTCTTGATGCAATCCGATTGTAATAGGGAAATCTTGGGTTTTGGGCACACGTTTTCCGGGCCGAAGCTTGGCCCGACCCGACCCGAGAATTGGGCAAATTTTTTGACCTCGGCCCGGCCCGGCCCCTCCCATTAATCACCTCTACTTATATTACAACAACGACAATAATAATAATAATAATAATAATAATAATAATAATAATAAAGACTATTATGCGGTTATACCATATTTCACTTAATGACTATTATATCATATTTCATTATTTGACGAGCTAGGAGTAAAAATAGAATCAAGTTAGTTTTTAAATAAGACCGGACCAACTCTTTGTTTTTTTTATTATTTTTTTATTTTTTTCATTTTGAGAATTTTTTAAAAAGTGTTTTGTGTTCTTTTGTCATTTTAATATTTTATTTTGTAATTATATAGTATATATTTTTCAAATGTTTTGTGGTTCTATTTTTTAATATATTTTTCATAAATATTTAAGTTATATAGTATATTTTTCTTAAATATTTTAATAAGTATATTTTTATATACACCTATATATAATAATAAATAATCAAAGATCATTAATCCGTAGTTAAAAATCACTAATTAATAATTTTAGTTCAATTCAGCTCTAATCAGTTCAGTTCAGTTTAGTTCACCTCATTTCAGTCAATGAGAACAGACCCTATGTTATTCATTACAAATTTTGTAAAGCACCGTACAACAATTAAGTTTTATATTAATGAATTGAATTTACTACTAGTACATATATTTATATATTAATAGAATAGAGGAAGTGTGAATTATTGTTAGGTTAATAATGAATAAAGTTTTAGCAATAATTGTATGTGACGATTCCAAATCATATCCACTTATGTACTCCGTATTATTTTACTGTTCCACCTAAAATTCCACACACGCCGTTATGAGGACACTTGAAAAAAATGGAGGGAATATGTTCATGATATTAATAGTAGTAGTATCAAAGATTTTTATCATGGGTGTACACAAAATCTAATGACGTATGTCGTCCAAAAAAGAAAAATCTAATGATGCATATTACCATAGCGATAATGTGTCATTGATAAGAAGGAAATGCACTTACCATATAAATGTATCATTGACACATTTGACAGGCATCCGAGGCATGAGAAAGAGCTAGAGAATAAAACCAAAAAAAAAAAAAAAAAAAAAAACATGAGCAAGCGCACTTAGTCATTTACCATATATACATATATATAGACAGGCATGACAGCTAAGCATGCAAGCACTTACCAAGTCACCAATTATACTTAGAGCAAGTTTAGCCCCAAGTCTTAAAACTTAGATGTGACAAATCATTTTTGGTTGTCTTCATTGAAAATGATATCATTAAATTCTTGTTATATACAAATTTATCACTTTTGCCCTAAAACATTTCACATATTATGGCCATGTTTGGTAATTGGCTTTTTAATGGTTTTTTGATTAACTTTTGGCTTTTGGCTTTTTTATGTGGTCAAAGAGCCAAAAAAATGTGTTTGGTAATTAGCTTTTTAGTCAGCGAAAAAGCTAACTTTTAAGCCAAAATGAAAAAGCTGCTTTTAGTAGCTTTTTTGTTGGCTTTTGGCTTGTTGACCCACAAATTATCTAATAAATAGCCAACAACCAACAATTAGTTTACCAAACACTTTTATAAACAGCCAGCTTAAACAACCAATTTCAAAAGTCATTATAAACAGCCAAACATTCCAGCTGGTCAAACAAGCCAAGTGAACCAGCCAACAGCCAACCGCCAACAGCCATTTGCCAAACAAGGTCTATATGTAGAAA